GCCAGTCCCAAGCCTGGATAAAGGAGGAGGGTTAACGTCAGGAAGGGCATCCGGTCATAAAACACTGCGCCAACCTAATCATGATGCGGACACAGATAGATAACGGATCCGCACCGGCAACTCCGCACAGGGAACAAGCCAGTAGTAGAAGAAGAATATATATATATATATATATATATATATATATATATATATAATAGGCTGACTGACTGATTGACTGAAGTACTGACTAGTATATACATATACATATATATATGTATACATATATATGTATATATATATAATATATGTATATGTGTAAGTATATTATAATTATCTATAATCAATATAATTATTGCTAGTTTAATCATTAGCATTAGTATTATCAATACTGTTATCATTATCGCCCTTGTTATTATTAATAGCATCGCTATTATAATCGTTATCTTCATTATTATAGTTATTATCATCGTCAGTATTATTAATATAATAATCATTATCCTTATTATGATAATAGGTACCATCATTGTCAAATATCATTCTCATTATTATCACTGTTGTTGTGCTGTTGTTCTTCATCATATTATTATCATCATTATCATTGTTTCTATTATTAGTTTGTTATTATTATGATCTCTATCACCATCGTCATTTTTCCAAAAGGGACAAGCGAAGAGTGCCGCTGCCTCCGGCGTCATCACCGACACTACTACAACCCAGACCTCCATCGCTAGTACTGAAACTACGTCAACTACAACAAGTGAAGTTACTAAGCTTGTGACCATTAGCGAGACTACATCTTCGACCACCGGTTCTTCCACTTCAACCTCTGTGTCCACCACATCCTCTTCTGAAGCCATGCCACCCGTAACCGAAGCAGCTGTCACGGAGGCCTCCAGTACTGAGCGTGCGTTCGAGACGTCGGACCTCGTTGAAACGACGCATGGGACAGGGGCAGACGAGAATACAACTGAGACTGTAACATCAATGGAGACAACTGAGGCTGTGACAACTGCGGAGACAACTGCGAAGACAACGGAGGCTGAAACAACAATAACAACTACTGAAGAGATTCCAACAACCACAGAGGAATATACTTTCACTTATATGCAAGGTGCGCATCTAAACTTGACAAAGGCACATTCTACCACCAATGTCTATGCACATATAATTACATGCTTACGAATGACTAAGTTTTAGGCGCCGTAATATCTCCTCCGTTGACTTTTGCAGGGAAGGACTGTAACACCACTGCTTGCAGACGTCTGGCGGCGCGCATGCTGGACATGATGGATAATGGGGATATCAGCCCCTGTGCGGTAGGTAGTGCGCTGTGGCTAGTGAGTGTTGATGTGGAGCCGTCCTGTAGGCACAGTGCCGCCAAAGACACAGCACTCATGTGAGTTTTCCTGCAGGACTTCTACCAGTACGCGTGTGGCGGTGTGGTGGACAATGGCTTCCTCAAACCCGAGAATCCTCAGTACTATGTCGATAGAATTATCGGAGGTCAGTGACTAACACATGGACGTTGCTTGAAAGGTCAGATGAGGAATTTTCCTTCAGTTGTCAACCTAAATGGGGTTTTAAAGATATTAACTTGTAATTGTGTATGCAATTGTTCGCGCGGAATACAAACGATCACACAAGAGAGTAAGTACACGCATGTTTCTTGACAGAAAAGCTTGCGTCAGTGCTTCCGGATGACCCGGACTTAGGTGCTGCGAAGGTATTCTTCGATGGCTGTCTGCGCACGAGCAACCAGGGCGTGTTAGAACGACTGAGCGATAGCATGAAAGTCTTCTCGGCCCTTGAGTCCTTATTGGACGCGACCAGTGGCTCGGACACTTTTAACCTGACCGAAACCTTGACTACGATGATGAAGATGCATTTGTAAGTATAAGGAGCGAGAGGAGCTTGATAGCAGTTCTGGTAACTTTGTAGATTTGATTGATCGTATTCCTGCATAAAGCATGGTAATACGCCTTACTGCTTGCTTCCTCCAGCACTCCACTCTTCGACCTGACGCTAGACGTGGATGGCGAGGATCCGGACAATTTCGTTCTCCGGCTTTCGCTCCCGACGTTCACTTCACCTTTCGGCGAGAATCTGGCGCACACGGTTTGTGTCGGGGAATACCACTCCGAGCTGGGAGCCGCCAAAAAGCGAGGCGGGTTCTTCGACTTGGACGAGCAGTACGACAAGTACAACGAGTGTATAGTGAGTAGTCATTATTTCTTTAATGATATGGCGGAAATGATGAATGCTTGATTAAACTAACATGTCCAAGAGTCGATAAGCAAATATAGTGTTTCTCCTACAGAAAAGGGGCAAAGGCTCGAATGCTCGCTACATGAAAATGAAGGAAATGGTGAAGAACATGGATCTAATAGGCAATCATACTGAAGTGAACATGACGCAAAGGCTCAATCAAGTCATAATCGACTTGGATTTCTTCTTGCAGCCAATTGTGAAGGCTAGTAATAATGTCAGATGCTGATATATCCAAATGAAAATAGCATGCATAGAAACCATAGCCTTTTGGATTTCACCTATGCCATGCACTCTGCCTATTACTTTTCTATTTATTTATTTATAGGAATTTCCCAAGAAGTCAATATTCCGCCTGCATAATTTGGAAAAGAAGTACGATACAATGTCTTTGGCTGACTTGATGGATTTAGAAGGATTCAGCGAGAACGTGAGATTTCAACAGTGCACACAACTCTATACACACACTTTCATGCACGCACTCGCACAGTCGTGCATGCGAACACAAACACTTATATATACAGACAAATGCATCCATAATCACACACTTACACACAGACACGTACATTTAATATATACGCAACCATATATTTTGTTTTACACTGGTATAAATAACCTGAGATAGTGGAGGATAAACTCGTCACTAACCCCTTCCCCGTCTGCTTCTGAAACGCTTCAGATCAACTGGCAGAAACTCGTATCCGATCTGCTGGGCATCAGTGCTGACCCCAAGGACATTAAGGTGCAGGTTTACTTCAAGGACGAACTGCAGAAAATAATCGAGCACGTTAACGAAAATATTTACGAGTAGGTTCAACATCTATAATGGCCTAGCTGAAAATGCGAAGCGTGAAAACTAATATTGAAGCTTTGGCTGGAGACAAAAAATATTCCTGTCTCCACTGACCAATTTGAGCTTATCTGTTGCTTCATTGTCTTTCAGCGCATCGAACATTCATGCCATGTTCATGATGCTTTGGAGTGAACAGCTGTACAACGACTTCGTGGACCCCCTCGGGGTTGCCATGGGCTCTCCCGCTTACTGCCTCCGCATTGTCAAGAATCTCATGCACGACTTCTCGTCTTACCTGTACCTTGAAGCCTTGGGACCCAGCCTCGACGAGTATCAGCAACAGGTGGCGTGGGCATTCCTCCTCGTATCAGTAACTGAAACATAACCCAATGTTTTCTTTCTTGATCTACCTTCTTATACATGTAATCGCTTCGACACATCCATGAGTCGAGGCGACGAGGCAAACGAGCAAGCAAGCCAAAGCAGAAATAAGAAAGACATTCACCACAAAACAAATTGTTGCGACTGAAACATCTCCCTACCTTCGAGAATCCAGGTTCGCCACTGTCATTTTATTTTGCACTGAACCCTCACAGATCAACACGATGGTCCGGCTGACGAAGAGGACGGCCGAAGAGCAGCTGAAGCGAGCGCATCCTTCCTCGCCCAACAACTTGCTCATCGAGAAGCTGCGCAAAATGACCGGCGAGACGATGGACCTCCAGACCGCCAAAGACATCCTAGGGAACATCATGACGGAGGTAAGAACATCAGCACTACATACAGAGACTCTAACCCAGTTGTTCCTAACATTTTCTATTCTGTGGCCCCCGACCTACATATAATAATCATTGTCTGTCATCTCTTCAGATTATTACTCGTTATGAATAGTGCAACAGTGCCAATGACTATAGGATAAAAAAAAATCCAATTCATTGATATGTGACCGAGAATTACTTTAGGTTCATTTCGAAGTGAAAATTTTCATATTAAATAGGGAAAGGTCGCCTGATTTCCTCTTCTGATTCATTTTTGGCAATGGTGATGACGAAAATGTTGATGATAAAGACGGTGAAAAAGATGAAAATGATGCTGAATTGAATAAAAATGATGATTTTTAGGGTAATGATATAGATAATATTTCAACAGTAGAAATGACAAAATTATGATATTTACACCAACAGTTATAATATTCGAAATGCAAATTGCAGTGATGATGATATTGATAATAATAATGATAATGATAACGGCAATGATTAATAATGATAATGATAATGATAATAATAATAATAACAATACTACTACTACTACTAATAATAATAACAATAATAATAATAATGATAATTATGATGATGATAACAATGATGATAATAATATTAATAATAATAATAATAATGATAATAATAATAATAACAATAATGATAATAACAATAATAATGATAATAATAATAATAATAATAATAATAATAATAATAATAAAAATAACAATGATAATAATAATAATGATAATAACAATAATGATAATAATAATAATGATACTAATATTAATTATTAGTAATATACAAATGATAAGGATAATAATAATGATAGTAAAAATAAGAATAAGGCTTATAATATTCATAATAACGACAATGATAGTAATAATAGTAATAATAATGATAACAGTAATAATGATGATATTAGGATAATAATAGTAGTTGTAGTAGTAGTAGTAATGACAATGATGATGATGATGATGATGATGATGATAGTAATAATAGTAATAATGGTAATGACGACGATTGTAGAAATTATAATGATTTAATCATCATAACAATAAAATAGTAATAGCGATAATAGTAATAGCGATAATAATAATAATAATAATAATTATAATGATAATAATAATAATTATTATAATAATAATGATAATAATAATAATAATAATAATAATAATTGATATTATTATAATAATGATAATAATGTTAATGGTAATAATGATGATGATGATGATGATAATAAGCATGATAATAATGACAATACTACTACTACTACTACTGTGATCATTATCATTACTATATAATAATAATAATGGTAATAATAATAGTATTCAGAGTAATAATGGTGATGGACATAATAATGTTGGTAAAAAAATAATAATGATAATGATTACGACAAAAAGATAATGACATCAATAGTAGTGATCTTAATAGTAATGCTTTCAATAATGATAATAATAATGCTAATGATGATAATAATAATGATAATAATAATAATAATAACAATAATAATAATAATGATAACAATAATGATAATACTAAGAGTGATAATACTACTAATACTACTACTACAGCTACTACTACTACTACTAACAATAATAATGATAATAATGATAAAAGTAATAATAATAATAATTATCAACGGTAATAATAATGATGATAATAATAATAATGATGATGATAATAATAATAATAATGATAATAATAATAATAATAATAATAATAATAGTGATAATAATAATGATAATAATAAATAATAATAATAATGATAATAATAAATAATAATAATAATGATAATAATAAATAATGATAATGATGATAATAATAATAATGTCATCACTGATAAGTCTTATCCTGATGGTACTACTACTACTGTACTACTACTACTACTACTGCTGTTATGATAACACTAATGAAAAGACAATATTGATAATTGTAGCGGTAGTTGAATATCTTCATTATTATTACTTTTGTTACCGTTAGAAGTATATTAACAATCAGAGTTAATGATAATTAATAGTTGGTAACGGTAATCATGTCATTTGCAATATTGTGACATCATCCCTATCATCATCATGCTAAATATAACTATCATCAGTACAAATCCTCTTTTTTCCTTCCAAACTCAAGTCATCACTACCATATCTTAAAATAACGATAACAACTCTATTTTATTTTATTTCAGGTGAATATTACCGGGAACTTCATTGAGGACTGTCGTTTACTCCTGTTACGATACAGATCCTTCTTATATAGCATGTATGAAAGAGGACCTTCCAATCCTGAAGTTATGTAAGTTTGTGTGCGCAGATGCTTGTTTAAGGATGGTATATTATTTTTGTTATCTGTGACTGTTGCTATATTATTGTAATTGTTGTTATTATCATCATCATCAACACAATTATTATAATTTACTATTTATAAATTTTTTATTAACATTATCATTATTAATAGCATTATTATTATTTCTTAAATTATTATTATTGTTAACTTTATTATAATTATTATTATTGTTAACTTTATTATGATTATTATTATTGTTAACTTTATTATAATTATTATTATTGTTAATTTTATAATAATAATAATAATTATTATAATTATGATTATGATTATCATGATCATCATCTTTGTCATCATTACTATTGCCTTCATCATCGATATTGTCATAATCAGTTTCTTATTATCATAGTCGATTACTATTTTTTTGTATATAATTCTAAGATATGCCTGCGAATACATAACATATATGCTTAATATGTTGTGACACATTTATTGCTTTATCTGCAGTCAATTTTTCACGGCCTTGTTACGTCATTGGCTGCTAGATTATTCGGTGTTCAGCAGAGAAAGTTCACTGTTAGTTCCGACGTCTGCAAAACGTCGAGTAATAAAGCAGGGGCAACATCTAAAGTCAGTTTGTGCCTAGAGCGCAAAGAAAATAATGTCCAGGTGGTCGTGCTTTAAGTAAATATCTTGTTGCAGGTGGAATCAGTTCCTTCTACCTTACAAAAGTTACGGTACCTACGTCTACGCCATGAACAAATTCTGTGAGTTTGAACTGCTGTCATTTTGCATAAAATAACAAATATAAGATAAACTGTTAAACAAATTATGCGTATGTGGGTTGCATAAACCACAAAACTTTATTTTCGGCCACTGTCTGACTGGACTTTCACTTGCAGTGATCCCGTATGGTGCCATGGCACCCCCGCTCTTCTATGGCGACGATGTCCCCCATTACATCAACTTCGCTGGCATTGGTCACATGATCGCACACGAGCTCATGCACAGCTTTGACGGCACAGGTGAGCCTATAGTCCCTTGTATGCACATGCAACATAGTAGAGGTGGGCTTAATCGATTAAAATAGTCAAATACCTCGTTTACTAAAGAAAGACCATCCAGTCTATTTTTTAAAAACAAATTATGCCCTCCCTCCACCACATCGTCACCCTGCCATCCTCCACCACACCACCACCCTGCCGTTGCCCTACAGTCATGCTGCCATTCGTTCATTATATCATCACCCTGTCACGATATCATCCTTTTTACACCGCCCATCCCATCATACATATACTATCGACATAAATACAAAAGTCATCGCAAAAGGTAGTCCATTGGCAATCATTTTCTTTCCTATGGTAACCATTAATAGCGCTTCCCATTTTTTCTAGTATAGCCTACTACTACTGCACAGACTGTCCAAATGGGCTCAAAGAGATTTTGGGTATCTTGGGATAAGTTTTTTATTGTTATGTTATAGAATATTTGTATGTTTGTAATTCCAAATCTGGCAAATGTAAGGAAACGGACAAAAAAGCTAGGTAGAGAAAAAATCGCGACACGTTAGCTGTATATTAAATTATTTTTGCTGGGTTGTGAAGTTAAAGTGTGACGTTCTCCGTAGGTATCTACTACGACGGCGAAAGGAGGAACCCGGACAAGATCTCAGAGAGCCAAGCTTATGTGCCTCATACTGAGTGTCTGTCAGAAAAACTTATTTACCCTCAGTATGTTAATACAACAAGTGATCTTGACACAAACTTTACGGTCAGTCTGCTACCTTTTAAGTTCGCTTAAAATGCATAACCATTGTTATAAACATTTTCCATGCACAGAAATAGGAACAATTCAAATACTGGAAGTAAAGTAGACAGTGTAAGTTTACTCAGGTTCAGAAATAGAATTTACTTAAGTGTATGCGAGCCTAAGTGCAAGTTCCGTTTTCTCTTCTGCAGCTGCCCCACCGCCTCGCCCTCAACGAGCTCCTCTCGGACTCCGCGGCCACCAGACTGGCTTGGGAAACTTACATCTCCTTACGTGAGTAGTTCAAGATACAGTCTTCTGAGAATGGGGCAAGAAGGGGAGAAGGAGAAAGGGGGAAGAAGGGGAGAAGGAGAAAGGGGGAAGAAGGGGAGAAGGAGAAAGGGGGAAGAAGGGGAGAAGGAGAAAGGGGGAAGAAGGGGAGAAGGAGAAAGGGGGAAGAAGGGGAGAAGGAGAAAGGGGGAAGAAGGGGAGAAGGAGAAAGGGGGAAGAAGGATTGTGAAAAGGCAAAGGGATGTTTCTTTCAGGTCACGATCAGCCGGCACAGGGGGAAGGGGGGGGGGGGGTGACAGGGAAAGCTGGCTTGATCAGCAGTTTTGCCTGATACTGTAGTTCAAACGAAAATTATTTACGCGTCTGTCCATAATTAATTTATCATTATTCACCTTAGCGTCTACCTTTAAAATGGGTGAAATTACAATCTGCAATTGCAGCTATATACTGCAAATTCCAAGTTCCAAGTTAGGTTTATCTGGTCTGGATTGCAATTACATACTCTAACAGTTGTGTGCCCTAGAGAACAATTGTATACTCTAGATTACAATAATATACTCTTTCGTCTAATTGCAAACGCAGAATTCAAATATGTCCTTTTGACCACAATTTCGAAACTACAATTCCACACATTAAATTACAGTTAAATCCTAAGCTACAATTACATGCTCAAATTTACAATTATATACTGCAAATCAACACGATAACGATATTGCAGAACATATGTACCTCAACAATACAATAACTTGTACAATTCCCAACAGTCACAGGCGTTGCAGCTCCTACATCGTCGCCAAGCACACCTCTCACAGGTATTTACACAATATGTTCTTTCGAAAGAGCATATGACAGCGTAATCTGTACACATTTCCAAAACATCTAAATTGACGAAGCCTAGACATACAGTACACTTCATGAAGTTCCTTGGTTGCATTCTCACATTTTTATTGCTGGACGTGCCATTGTATAGCTCAATAGCAAGAACCGATTATGCACAGACTGTTGCATAATCAAGTTCTGGTCCTTGGAATCGACCTGAAGGTGTACACAGCCAGTCTTCATTAGTATGAGCCAGCATTTCTCTGACGATGTTGACCTCCCTCCTCGATGCTAACCTTGCCTTCACTGGACGCTCCGCCAGGTGGACGGGGGGGAGGCAGCCAGCCCAGCCGCCGCCGACGGTCCCTGAACTGGTATCCCCCAGGAGCTCGGGCCAAACGCAAGGCCCTGTTTTCGCCTCCGAGACCCACTAAGCCCTTGCCTTCGACCAACACTTCGGAGCCAAAGCTGCCCTTGCCTTCGACCAACACTTCGGAGCCAAAGCTGCCCTTGCCTTGGACCAACATTTCGGAGCCAAAGCTGCCCTTGCCTTGGACCAACATTTCGGAGCCAAAGCTGCCCTTGCTTTCGACCAACACTTCGGAGCCAAAGCTGCCCTTGCCTTCGAACAACACTTCGGAGCCAAAGCTGCCCTTCCTGAACTTGACACCCATCCAACTCTACTTCCTCCGCACAGCACAGGTAATTTCTTTGTTTTCATTTTACTGTTTATCACGTTACCCATGCATAAAATAAGTTCCCATCTTTCCTCTGGGCCATAAGGCTGAACGTTATACCTAATCCTCCCGCCCCCTCGAACTCTGAGCTACTTCCAAACTCCAATTGAATAAGCCATAAAATCTCTTCGTGATCAGACCCAGTGCAGCGCAACCAGTGACATCATGTTTGGCGTGAAAGAGGATGAACAACTGCCATCTCGCCTCAGGTAATGTCTTACATTTGTGTTCGATAAAGATCTGCGATATTTGCCATTATCTCTGTAACGATTGGCTGTATATTTGACACATACAGATTAGTCTCGTTCATCATATGCGTTCGGACA